GATGGTGATTAGCAACCTATTGGAAGTTAATTATCTATTATATTTGAAGTATACTGTAAAATCCAAGAGACATTTAGAAATAAACAGTAATAAGTTGTATCTGTAGTGTTTCCCAATTATTTTTGTAATTATTATGACCTCCTTTCCTGGACACAGCTCTACTGTTTCCTGATAATGCATTATTTACCTTTGCCTTATCTCTGGAGCTGGCAAAGTTACACAGTGAAGCAGGTTCCCTTAAGCTGGCAATGAGTAGCAGTGATGGTAGGCCCACTTTTGTAAGGACAAAAACCAACATATTCCGGGAAGTCTTTCCCCTCACAAAAACTTGATCACTTCTGAACACTGCTTGGCTATCTGTAGAAGTACCTTAGGAATTTTGCTTAATCAACTGTGCTGGGCTGTTTTCTCAGCTGGTGAAATAATGAGTCTTTTCAAAACCAGAGAGATGTCACCACAGAGTGAATTGCTGTAACAAATACAGTGAAGCAAGGTCAAGTAAAAAAACCACTCAGATATCACTGAGGTTGTGCCAAAACCTTAGAGGTGTCATACTGCGGGAGAATCACACTTCCTAAAGCAACTAAAGAAATGAAGCAGACAGTCCAGCTTAACCTGCTACCGCTGCTGTGCTTCTGGGAGCCAGCCATGCCAGCAGGAAAACTGAGGCAAAGATACTTTGATGTCAGTGCTGACAATGAAAGAACAAAGAATTAGGATGAAAATCAGATAAACTCTATTAAAAAATTAAATTAAATTAATTTTTATGCAAACAGTTTGAAAGCCATAAGAGGATTAATCTGATAGGTTATCAGGGAATCATTCATAGCAAAAGTTATTTAACTGGGTCTAAGCAGAGTTATAAAGTTCATGTAAGGGGCTCTGAGGTCAAAAGAACTGGCCTACAGTTTTTTTTCTTTAAATGATATCCATGTACAGTAATATATACAATACTTCACAAAGCTACAACATTTTGAAACTAAGAGAATGTCTACGTGTCTAAAGCATGGAGTATGAATCTTGAAAATATTTAATATATTAGAATTAGATCTGTTTTTCTAACTGTATCAGACCTGTTTTAAAAGTCCAAGACATTCATGTATGTGTTCAGACTTGTGTCTACTTACATTAATCAAAATTCTCAAATTTTCTCTCAGTGCAATATTTCGGTCACATCATTGTAAGTATTAACATCAATATAAATATCATGAAGACATAATTAAACTTTACATAAAAGAAACATGATGGCATTTTAAGAACTAGTAACTTTATAAGGGAATTATAACATGTATTTTATTTAAAAAGCATGATTACATAAATTTTTAACTATGATGATCAGAAAAAGTTTCATTTAATTAAAAAAATTCTGTATGCCTTTGGAAATCAGAATAATTATTTAGTGTGTTTAGAAGCTGAGTGTTTTTCAGTCAAATATACATGAATATTAATTAATAATAAAACATAGAATAGTTTGGGTTGGAAGGGACCTTAAAGATCATCTAGTTCCAACCCCCCTGCTATGGCCAAGGACATCTCTCATCAGGTTGCTCAGAGCACCATCCAACCTGACCTTGAACACTCCCAGGGTTGGGGTGTCCATGACTTCTCCGGGCAACCTTGTCCGGTGCCTCACCACCCTCACAGTAAAGATTTATTTCTAACATCTAACCTAAGCCAACTCTCTTTCAGTTTGAAGCCATTCTCCCTTGTCCTATCATTACAGTTCCTGACGAAGAGTCCCTCTCCAGCCTCATTGTAGGCCTCTTTCAGGTACTGGAAGGCTGCTATGAGGTCTCCACACAACCTTCTCTTCTCCAGGCTGAACATCCTCAACTTTCTCAGCCTGTCTTCATAGGAGAGGTGCTCTAGTCCCCTTACCAACTTTATGGTGTCCTCTGGACTTGTTCCAAGAGTTTCATGTCCTTTTTATGTTGAGCACACCAGAACTCTGAGCTGTACTCCAGGTGGGGTCTCACAAGAGCAGAATAGAGGGAGAGAATCACATCCCTTGACCTGCTGTCTACTGTCCTTCTGATGCAGCCCAGGATTCTATTGGCTTTCTGGGCTACAAGCACACACTGCTGGCTCATGCTGAGTTTTTCATCAACCATCACTCCCAAGTTCTTCTCCACAGGGCTACTCTCAATCACTTCTACATCCAATCTGTAGGCGTGTCTAGGATTGCCCCAACCCAGCTGTTGCTGGCTTTGTTGAACTTCATGAGGTTTGCATTGGTCCACCTCTCAAGCCTATCAAGGTTTCTGTGAATGGCATTCCTTCACTTCAGCATGTTGATCACACCACAGAGCTTGGTATCCTCAGGGAACTTGTTGAGAGTGCACTTGATATCACTGTCCATGTTGCTGACAAAGATCTTGAACAGTATTGGCCCCACCATCAATCCCTGAGGGACACCACTTGTCACTGGTCTCCATGTGCACAATGAGCCGTTGACTGCATAGACTAAGAGATAATAACAGACTAGTATATTCTCTACCAAAGTAAAAACTGTAACAAAACAAAAAGAAATGTTTTCCTTCAGTGGCCACTTAGCAGCGTTCTCACATTAAACTAACAATCAGATCAGATCACAAAATTGTGGTTGTTAGCTGATTCAATAATAGATTTAAAAATGGGAATACTTTATAATGTGTTCAGATTTAGACTGTACCTGGTACATGAATGAGTCATTTCACACTTTTATTCTCATTCTTGGCTAGGGTGATAGTGATAAAAGATTTTTCTGTCAGATCAAATATGGAAGAATGTAGGATATGTGTTTTCTAATTAAATAAATAATTTTATTTTTTTTAAAACTAGAGTGGGCTTATTTTTGTTTCAAATTCAACATATTCTTGGTCATCTGTTGCTCATAGCATTGATTTTCATTCCTCTTGGCATCATACCTGCCAAAGTCAGTTAATATTAGTGTCAGAGATGATGTATAAGGAATAAAAAATGTGTCTACATTTAAGCTACTGAGGCTCAGGAGGAAGGAATACAATATTAAATCAGAAGATACATGAATTCATCTAGAGAAATCCCATCTCGTCCCTGCTACTTGGCTAGCCTTCTCTTTCTATGTCTCTGAAGAGTTAATGAATGAATCAGAGTAGGAGGGAACAGCAGGTGTTTATTTAGAAGGTACATAACGCCATTATGTAGCTCGTGATCCAGCAACCACTATGTGAGTATACAAAGACTGGGGATGGCTGTGATGGACTGTGACAAACAGCACAGTGACATGCTGATTGATCTGCAAGCCCAGTGGAGAAGTCAGTCAATACCAGAAAAAATCATGAAGTGTTTATTTCTGCCAGTTTGGCTGACATGCCACTGATGCATGCTGGAGAGCTAATGTTGTTAGCCAAGCTGTACAGCAGCATCTGCCACTTCCACAGACTCATCAGTGACACCCATGGGTAAGATGGCATTTGTTTTATGTAGCTGATGACAAACTGATCAGTGGTTTCTCAGCAATCATCAGTAGTTTCTCAGGAATCTTGCAAAGACAAAGAAATGTGTGCTCACACACCAGTACGCTCTCGTTCTTACACATTAAATATGCATTGACCTGGTTTACTTTCAGATGTGATTGTCAAGCTTCCATTTCTCAATCACTGATTTATGCAGCAGAGTTCACACAACACAGTTTCTATATGTAATAGTTATAATCCCCTTTTCTCTCTGCTCGTCTGTGTGCACTAACCTATAGAACAATTTCCTGAAATTCAGCTATTTATTCGCTCAATATGAAATGAAACCTGATACATAATAACATAGGAAATGAAACTATACATAATGCTGTAGGAGTGAAAATAGCAGAAAACCAAGATGAAAAAAATCTAGCAGCGATAAGCAACACGCCTACCTTAATTAAACTCCTACAATAAATCCTTGCATTTTCCTCCTTATTGGAATTGATTAATTTAGGATCTAATCCTGATTTCAAGAAACCCGCCAGAGAAAATTCTAATTGACTGCCAAAACAGAATCTAGTCCACTGTTTTTCCACCTGTTTTTTCATAGTATCTAAACCTGAACTTAATCACATATACTAGAAGAACAAAAAGTGAGATCGCATGATTTTCACAGCAGATGAGAAAACTACATCTCTCAATAACAAGATGCTTTAGAGGAAGTGCATAAAAATCAATCTCGCAGCAGTCTTTCCAGGATAAAACAACAGGAGTTGTTTTATCCCAGATTCTAATTCCCCTGGAGACTGAACTCCCAACATTTCCATAAAAACTCACAGACTCATCAAGTTAAGACCAAAAACCTGATTTCCATAAAAACTCACAGTCATCAAGTTAAGAACAAAAACCTGATGGCAGGTATGAAATTCAAGATGACCTCTTTGTCCACGGTTACATTTTTCTCAGTCACTTGTCAGCTAAAACTCTCAAGCATGTAGCTTTGACAGCTTAAAAATCTGATATAAAGACATCACTTAAAAACCTGACCAATACTTTCAGAATTGGATATTATAAAGGTCAAATCCCTGAATTAAACTTACTTGAACAGAATCTCATAGGATAAAGGTGCAAAAATCTGCATCCCAAATTCTCTAACAGAGATAAAGGGCAATAAAGTTTTTCTTGGCCTGTTAAATGTGTTATGGTATATAACTTTCAAGGTAAGTCTCATTTGATGTGGAAAAGGTTGAACAAATAGAATGCATTTAAACAACAATTATGGACTTTCAAGACTCCTACTGAGGTCACAAAACATTCTTCAGTAGATCAAAAGGCTCCGTTCAGTAACTGGTTGAGGAGGAAAGGTGTGATTATAGATGCACCTGTTGGAAAACCACTATCACCACTTCATCGCATGCTGAGAGCCAAGATACTGCCATTGCACTGCTGGGCCTTCAGGAGTGTTTGAAGAGCTTTTAGAAATAAGAAATACCAGTATTGCCTCTGCTTTCACAATAGAACAGAACAGTTGTTAAATTACAAAAACGGATCACAGAATAAGCTAGAATTTGTGGAGCTTACCTTCCTACGATGAGATGGCACAATAAAATACGTTTCAATATTATGCTTCTTCAAGAAACTATTCCTTTCGTGACCATATCCTGGTTCTACCTCATAGTCCCCATTTAGGCACTCTAAGGTGGTCTTTGTAATGTGAACTTTCCTGGAGAAAAAAATCAGACGTTGTTTAAAGTAAAGATACAGTATGAGCAAGTTGCTAGTGAAATACGTTCCTATGTAGAAGTTCGTAAAGAGGTCAAGTTACATGCAAAACCACATTTGAGGTAAAAAAAAAAGTTTTGTCTTTTCAGCCAAATAGAACATAGAAAAATTTCTATTACATGTGTTTTCTAAACTTGGGCAAACTGAACAGAAAGATAACTATTGACTGTCCAAATATTTGCAGATTTTCTGATTTGTAGAAAGTCTGCACATCATCTTCTATATTGTGTGGTTTTCTTAAGTATTTACCTCACTGGCTGCTTGGAAAAACATCCTGCTATTTCCAACTTGTGAATTCACACTCCAAATCTCTCCTCTGTATAAAGGAGAAACTTCTTTTTCCATTTCACTTTACATCTCTGACTTGTATCATTTGCTCACTCTGTTTTGTAGGCAGCTTTCTAATTCACTCTGTTTTGGCAACACAGCCATCTTGGACACTATTTGTGAGTTTTCTTATCCTGAAAAAGTCTTCCCATTTTCTCCCAAAAGACTCCTTATATTTGAAATGTCTTCAGAGAAGATATCCAAAAAGATTTTACTGTTTTCCTCTAATGAACATGTGTTCAGATTTTTTTCACTGGAAAACCTTATGGTAATGAACAGGTAAAATACACTGCCAAAATTATCTAAATCAGATATAGGCAACAAACAGATATTCACTCATTGTTACCACAAAAATCAAGAGGTTCCATTGTCCTCCTGTTCAGCAAATCATGATCTCGTAAAAATGCAACAGAGAATGGTAGGTCCCAGTCCAAATATGAGCTACACACAGAGAAGACCACCCATGCACCTTTGTGAAGGTGCACTGTGTGCATTTAAATTGTGTTCAAGGCTGTACAAGTACTTAAAATTCCAGGACATGCCCCATGGGTTGGCTGCAAGTTTACATGCTACTGTATCACTTGCAAACACATCCTTAATATTTGAGTTTTCTTTTTTATAGCACACTACTAGTGTTGGAAATCTTGCCATGTAAAAGGAGTAAGGCACCTCCCTGGCCCTCTACAAGTGTAGAGGTGCAAGTGTAAAAATTTCCTGGAATAGCTTCAGGGTTTTACTTTTGTAATAGGAAATGATGCAAGTTTAGCATTCCTATATTGCATTGCATCTTTCCTACTCTTTATATTTGGCAGCTTCTAATAAGGATTTTGCTTGGAAATGTTTTGCTTCTAACCTAACCTATTACTTACGTAAATATCAAGATTGTTCGGAGAATTCCACAGGACAAATCACATAATACATTGATTGCTCTTGCCAAACACAATCCTTCTTATCAATAACAATTACATGCAAATGCCTCAAAGCAGGAAATAAATTCTTCACCCATACAGGTTTCTATTTCTTTTTCTGTGGTTCTTTTTCGAACTTACCCAGGCAGTCCTCCAGCTTCCATTACATTAGCTAAAGTCACATCATTTGACCAGACATCATATTGCCATTTTCGGAGACCCAGGACCCCACAAAGCACCCTTCCTGTATGCAATCCAACTCTCATGTTGAGATCAACCTCTGTGGCTTCTGCAACAGATCTGGAATGAAGAGCATCAGAATATTAAAGTTTAGACAATTACACTTCTCTCGATTTTCTTTTTCTCTCCTTCTCCCAAAGTTAGCATATATATGTATATAAATGACTAAATAGATAGGATCTTTTAAAACCACAAATGGTATGTTCAGGTACTGCACTCTTCCTTCACTAGTTTCAAAGCCATAGTTGTAATTACTTTCTTATATTTTAATATATTCTTATATTTTAATTACTGTTGAACCAAAATCTCACTATTTCTAAATTTCTTGACCATCTCTGTAAGAAAAGAGGTATGAAGAGAAGACAGCTAAGAAGGCCAATGTATAAGCAATTATTGCCAATCTACTATGTTCTAATTGGTTCAATTACCCTGTTACGGGAGTACAGGAGAAAGAAAATGATGAAAGTAGTAAGTTAGTGCAAGAACAGCAGATGAATAGTGATTATAAACACTAATATCTTTCCAAAGCTCCTGCAAGAGTGGCACAGAAAGCACTTGTAACTATGGTCTTGTACCCGTAAATTAAATCCAATGTTCAGAGATTTTCCTTGTCTAGAAAAGGAGGAATTAATCAGCAAAGTCATTATTAAAAGCATTTTTATTTTTTGCTGCCACAATAAGGAAGCATTCTTCATTACCATAAATGATTGGTATGCTATAACTTGCACCCTGGATGGACTTGTGAATGTTGAAAAGGTACCTTGAGGCTAATAGTCTTATACATTATATGCAGAGATAACACTGTAAATAGATCTTTTCAGCTCTTTCTGTTACAAAAACACCTGGCATTCCACAGTTCAGTTGCAGTCCAAAAAGAGATAATATCAGTGAATAAAGGAAACTGTCTAATCAGCGTAAGACTTCATTTTCAGTAGGTTTTCTTAATTTGAATTTTCCAATGCATTTAATAGAAGACGACCTTAAATTGAGACTCTAGCTATAACTTTCCCCTGATGTTCATTGACCAATTTTTTTTTTGAAGTATCATCCACCTATGCTGGATTTGGCAAAGATGTCTTTAGAAAGACTTTTCAACTATTTCAGGAGTTGTACTTGTTTAAATACAATTAACAGAAAGGTCATCATATGTCAAGACGTGGCATGTGCAGCACAAGATACCTGGCCTCAATTTAATTTGGAAAGTGCTGCATCTATGAGTGCTGAAGTATATACCATGTCAGCCATCACTAATGTGAGTAACATGGAGATCTCTTTTGTCCCCATAGGGAGTCTGGGCATAACACATTTTTCAGTCATATTTTATGCAACAGCCCAGAAAGGCTTATGCACAGCTTTCTGAAAGATTAAATATTTCCTTGTCCTATTTCTACTCACTGCAAGTCAGCTTCCCTTTATTCAATATCTGTTCCCAGTCAAGCCTCAAATATGACTCCAAGGAGTCTTAAAAGGATTCTAGTCTTACAGGGCTTTGTTGTGCACACTATCTGTTTGACACAGCATGGAGGAAATGAATGTATACCTTCACCTTTGTATCTTCACCTGTGCATATGTATTGTGTCATTAACAGATTGACCCTACACCAAGACCATACCCTGCAAGCCAAAGCCCTTCAGGACTACACCTTGCTTGTCTGTTCTCCTGCATAACTAAGTACCTATGAAATTATCTTAACTAATGAACCTGCAAATGTGTGAATTTCTCTGTTCACAAATGAGCGGGGTTTTTTTGTTGGTTCTGCCCATTTCTCCCCCATTTAAAAAAGTATATTAAACCTCAGACTAAACATAAGCAGAAAGACAGTGAAATTCAGACACTGATAAAGTCCACTCCAGACCTTTAACATTGCTTTGTCACAATTGGCTTGAGTGAGTGGTGGAAATTTAATCTGCCTTTAGAAATTTGAATAGAATAACAAAAAGTACATGACAAGAAATTAGAAGAGAAATACAACATAGCTGACCATATTCCTTGTTAAATAAGCTGAACTGTATAATGCATCAATGAACCATAAAGCAGAATCTGAAAACACTTCATGTTTTGAGCAAAAGATTTCCCGAAGTAGTCACTTAGTAAAAAAATCTAAATTGAGAATGCATTTCTACATCTTCCCCAGAAGCTACAATGTGTTTCAGGGATGCTTCCACCATTATTAAATTTGAGTAGGAAAAAAGCTCAAGAACAGTTCATTAAATTTTTTGAATTTATCTTGAAGACTTGTGTGACTTTTATGCAGATAAATTTCCATTAATATACCTCACTGAACTATCAAAAATGAGGAATATTAAGTAATATATAAAGAATAGACTTCACATATAAATTCAGAGCAGTACCATGATCATATTCCCAAACAACACCAACATTTCTGAAATAAAATCACAAAAATGTCCAATGAAGCATTTTACATTATAAATACATTTCTGAAAAAATACCAGCACTTCACAAACAAGCCATGAATAGGAAAAAGAAGTTTCTCAAATAAATTATTCATTATTACTTGTTTTCCCATAGATTCATATACAATATACTCAAAAGTTTTCCAAATGTCAACACAAAAGCAGGCCCAGAAACAAATGGAAATCAAAAAACAGTTTCTTTTTAAACCAGATGTGTGTAGAGTCTATGTGAGTGACTAATAAGACCACCATCTACCCTGACAGCTCAAGTATCCTACAAAGCCTTTAAATTTTAGTTCTCTCCTTAGCTACAAATATTTTATGTGCTGCTACAAGCCATCAAAGTAATTTAAATCATCTGCAGAACAGCTCCAGACTTATGCTCCTGAGCATTTGAAGGGGGAGAAAAAAAGCCCTGCATCCCATTTCTTATAGTTATTTAGGGCTTTTTTTGGGACTAAAAATATCTGCATAGAAATAGATGTTTCCGGTTAAAGGCATATATATAATTTTTGGTTCAATTACATACACTTTACCGGAGTGTTGCTAAGCTGCAGCATGGCCGCAGAGCACTATGGCAGAGAGTCTGGGCTGTGAAGGGCTGCTAGAGGTGCAAGCTGACTAAGCTTTCACCAATGGTAGACAGCTTCCTCCATTGCTAAAAAGGCAGCTGCTGGTTCTCCCAGAACTCAAGGTCAGTTTACTCCTGCCAGTTCAAAATTTTCCAGGCCTGGGACCTCTGGAGGACATGGGGAAAAGCTTCAACAGTGTTGACATCAGGAAAGTTAATGCTTCTGTCTCCTTCCCCATACAAAATATCACACAGGAAAACTTGATATTTCCATTCAAATTCCTCAAACTGGCTACTGTAGTTCCTCTCCCTTCCCCAGTGCCCTTGGTCGTCTGATGATCAAACCCATAAGAAGAAGACAATTCGAGCATCAGCTTCTCTAATGCCCACTGCAACGAATCAGCAACACAATGTGCAGGTGCGAAATAAGCCCAACTTCCATGTGTGAGGTCTTACACGACAACTGGTGGAGTCATTCATATTAGGTGGAGTCATCTGTATGGGATAAAATCACCTATATGACACAGAGGAAAGCTGATAAACTCCGCTGGGATGCCCAGTTCTCAAGAAGCAAGGGTTCACAGGCACCTTCTTTCAGACTCTTCAAAGGCCACATGCAGCAGGAACGTTCAATCAGAAGGTCAGATGAGACTTATTCTAAAGGAATCCTCGCTCTTCTCTCCACTGTAATACATGTAGGTTAAACTAAAGCAGTCAGCAGCAGCTGCTGCGTTCTACAGATATGCTCCTATCACGTCATGCAAGTGCTACTGTACACATAGCCAGTGATGCAGCTACAGGTGCAACCTAGCAAGACATCAAGGGAAGAAGTAGCATGAAAAGAAATTGTCACATTCCTATGTGACAATAGGAATGACTACTGAATCCCATTAAAGTTTTGAAAAGTTTATGAATGTTAACCCCAGTATTTTGACCCAGTCCAAAATCTAGTATTTATATCCTGTTCACCCAGATTCTCGCCTTATTTCCAACTGGAAACATTACAGATCAGTTTTTTTCCTGTGGTGTTGTTGAATGCATTTGAATTACTCTCTCATTTCATCATGTTTCATCTCCTAAGAGGAATTTCTGGACTGAACCAAAGAATTGTTTAATATAATTTATATCCATTGATGAAGTGCTCTGTAAGGAAAGACAAACTATTATTAAGAATGTGTAAATCTGTCCCCATAACACTAGCCTATACAAAAATTCTAGACAGTTTTTGGAGGAGAGAGAGAGGGAAGAGCTTGATTAGCTGGGCAAAGCAATTAGCTATCAAATATATCTATTCAGAAGGTAAAACACAGTAGCACATAAGACTGGAACCTTCGAATGTGGCAATCAATTTAAGTAAGGTGAAGAGAGCGCTTGGCCTAACACACTGTTCATAGCCAAGGTTAGGACAATATCTGCCACATTAGACCAATACCTGACATATTAGAGGCTCTAATGTATATGATAATTTTAATTATATTACTAACAAAAACCTGACAGTTGAAACTCATATAGTGAAAGCAACACTGGTGGCATGAAACACTTAACTCTGCTTACTGCCTTGGTGGTTTAAGTGACTCTAAAGTGGAAAAAAAACCTGCCGTGTACTGAGGCACTGACATAGAAAAAATGTGTCATGGCAGAAAAAATTCTTTTGGAATTGAAACAGAAGGTAATACTATCTGTTTTATTGGGTTTTTAAGAAAAAAGAAGGTCGTCCCATAATGATCCTGGTCTGACCTTAACTGTGCACTTAAAGAAAACACTTTGAAGAAGGCAGATAAATTGTGAAAATTTTATGGTTTTTTTAATACTTAGGAAATTATGTTCTCAGAAGATACTCATAGCACTATATTGCAGGATACTTTAATAGCAGTTACACAGAATATGAAGTGAATGGAATGTATCAATTTATATGAACACATTATAACATTCAACTCAGTCCAACCACAGAACCGTGAACCAGGAACCAGAAGCTTCTATTCTTTGATTTCACAGAAAAAACCTACATCTTGGTAGTACGTATCTTGTAACACTTCTAAAGGTCATATAAGTATCCATATACTGCTGAAAGAATACACATATTCTTTTGGGATTTTATAGTATCTTAGACTACCATAAATTATAGATTCACAGATTACAAAGTATTTTACCAATTTTACGATGTTCACAAACATGATGAACTTTCATTGAATCAGGGAGAATATGGATTAATTTACGCAACTCTTCATACTGAGATGTATTTTTATAATATGTTTACCAAATGAAAAGGACAAGTGAGGAGCTTCTGACTGAAGTAGGAATGCAACATTTTATTTTCTATTGGTTTGTTTATTAGCTTTTGTTTATCGGTCCCCTGAGATGCAAAGTCACTTTTTTTTTAACTTCCTCCTTTCATCCAGAGTTGGATACCAGCTGGTAGTCTTCTTGATATTATAATAAAAACACATGGATTGAGCTAGAAATGAGAAATAGCCTTTGATTGCTTTAAGTACTTCTTCCTTTTTTGTATGCTTTCAAGCCCTCTGCAAAGAAACATCAGTGAATACAGAAAAGTTTAAGAAAGAAGGTAAAATGTTCCAAATAAAAATTGCATAATTTGAATTCATAAGCTTTATGATTGCTTATTTTATTTTTTCATTATTTATTTTTTGGGGTTTTTTTAAATTGAGATTACACTATGTTCTGTTCACCTTCACAGAGAAGGCAGGTCCTTTCTAAGTACAAAGGAAAAACTCGGGGATCAAGTGAGGGGAAGAAGAACCTTGAGCCAACTCCACATTCCCAGCAGTCCAGATGACAAAGAGAGCAAGAATACCTGGCTAATTGCAACAGTGGTTAAACACTTTCCAGTGCAGAACAGGCTAAGGCCCCTGATGTGAAACACCTGTACGAGCTCAGTTCTAACATAGTAGCACTATGCTGAACAGTATTTAATTATACACAGAAATTAATACAGGTGTGCACATCCTCCTATAGCCTCCCTATAAAGCACATACACACAAATGCCCACAAACACAGAGCAATACAGTAGTGAAGAAAATTTCCTTTCCCTTCTATGGGGGGGAATTTATCCTTTCCCTTCTAGGCAATAAAATAGATCTCCAGCTCTCACTAAAAGCTTATTCACAGTTCTCTAACATTCATATTTTTTGCCTTGGCAAAATAATGATCAATGCAGAGCTCTCAAGCATAAAAAAAGTCTTCTAAGCAGCAAAGTGAATTTCACATTACATTTCTGAAAAGCAGAATAAATGAAAGGTTTAAACATGACATACAAAAAGGAGATATCAGCAAGCTAAGTTTTTGAGACTACAAACACATATACAACAAGCATACATCAGGACTGGTTTCGAGTTTACATACTGTGTGCAAAATCAGCTATGTTTATCACTGCAAAACAAGAAATTTTACTCCTTTCTTTGTGGCAATTAGCAATAGGCATATATTGTTATTTCCCAGTATCTTTCTGTCACCTAATCAGTATGTGTATGTGCCTCTACATTCTCATCCTTTTGCACTTACTCCTTACAGTCATCAAATGGAGTGGAAAATCAATGTCTAGAATGACCCTTCCTAAAATCAGTATCCTGTGACCTGAATGAAACAGTGTGAATTGCCAGGTGGGCAGTGCTAGCAGAAACTGCTGTTTTCTAATAACACGCTTCCTGAACACCACATAGAAGTTGTTGCTGCACTCCTGTCTGGATTCACCATGCATGGTACTTACGTGATGGTGTCAATCATATCCAGTCCCATTTCAACACAGCAATGGGCATGATCTGTTTTGGGCTGGGTCAATCCTGATACACAGTAGTAACAGTCCCCTAGGATTTTTATTCTTCTGCAATGATTTTCCTTTCATAAAAACAGAATGGGAAAAGTTTTACTGTTCATATAAATATTCCAATATTAACAGTGCAATCGTTCAGGGAATCTTTTTGTGGTCAGATGAAGTAATTGGCAGTTCATGAAATCTGGGTTCCCTGTGCCCAACAGCTGACATACACATATTGTTTATTTATTTATAAATAGACACATATATACTGGACATCATCATCCCTGCATTGTTCAACACACATGGGGGCTAACACTGCTTAAACCCATAGTTCTGAACAAATATTATTGCCTTGCCTGCATGCTAGGTCAGTATGAATTCAAGATTTGCAATGAGACTTCATTTCTCTATGAACCCAAACCAAAGGACAGAAACCAAACCACTACTGAAATGTTTGCACTCTGGGAGGCTTTTGTTTCAAATTCAGTTCAAATTTAACAGGAAAGATTATGTATTTATCTGTAAAGGTACACACATTTGTACATTACCAATTCATAAATCATAATTTACAATACAGTATGATTAGTATGACAGACTTGCGGATCAGAAGCTACAGTCAGTTTGCATTACCATCAAATTTATCTCATGTTTGCATGAAGTTTAATTTCTACAGCCAAAGATATCCGGCTAAAACTCTCCCATTTTAAAAAACCACTCACGACATGTGATGATTGCCACATCAATCTGAGCAGAAAGTTCATTTCTAAACAGAGAGTACATAACAAAATGCCTTTAAGAAAGCAGTACCTTTAATAAATTATGAGGAGACATGAAGAGATGATGGCTTTTGTAACTATACTATAGCAACTTCTACCCATTTAGACTTCGGCACAGAAAAGTAAATAAACATTAAATGAATCCCACTTATACAGCTGGGACTATGCCAGTAAGCACCATGCAAAATTAACTATTATGAATATGACGGGAGGGGATAAAAAGAAATTTGATGCCTTCCCCAGCAGTGTTCTATACAGGCTTGACTTCAGCAACACAGAAAGGGGAAAAAAAAGAGCGGTGGTGATAACGGAATTTAAAATTTCTGGAAAAAAAATACCTAATTATAGAATCATACTTGTTCAGTTTCTCATACAGGCACATATTCTCATCTGGTTTCCTGCCTACAAGAATCAAAGCCTTTCTGAGTTAACCACACTCTCCACATCATTACCCATACTCCAGCTCAGAAGCAATGGTTATGCCTACAGTGATCTTTTTCTCTCTGACATGTCACCATGTATACCAGCATTTGGGGCTCATTATTACACACTCTTCCAGCAGCAGGCATTCACATCTCTCTTTGTTGTAATGGTACTGAGTATTGAACAAATACTATCTAATGAGAATTACCTCTGTTTACACATGGAAGAAGTCATGCTACACTGTTTGGGACAATTGTTTTGTCTATTTCTTGTTATAAATTAAGCAACAAATTCAGATCTCAAATCAAAGAAGAGAGATGTCTTTATGGGTATGCTTAAGTAGTAGAAAGGCTTTTCCAATAGTGACTACTTAACTAATTAATTATCATTGCTAATACATATTTTAATGAATACAAGCATATTTTAAAAGGATTATCACCAGGGCCTTAAGAGTATTTCCACTGCCTACAGTTAAAAAGTGCTTCACCAATTTTACATAGACTTTTTTGAGATCCTTGGCTAAATGGTTTTATATAAGTAAAATAATTATTGATGCAAACAAAGTAATACACAGATCTCAAAATTTATCTTGACATAAAATAGTCCTTCTAATTAAAGTTTTTTGGACAGAAATTACTATGTTTTTTAATAGAAACCAGGAAGTTTTTTACTAGATAGCACTAATTTATACTGTCAAAATAAGCTTTTTTTTTGGGGGGGGAAGGGCAAATCTTGAATCAGTAGAGGGTACTCAGTAGTTAAAGCTGAAGCCTGCTTTCCAAAATAAATTCAATTTTGGCCCACACTTTAAAATCCTCTACAAGGCCCTTTTCATCTTCACATTTCGTATGCATGACTTGTGGCCAGACAATGTCTATTTGACCCATAGGAAAGCTATTCATAAAAACCATTTCAGTAACCTGGGGTGAACAATACATATGTGTTAATCAATCAGTGCTTTCTCCTAATAGTGTGTATCTCCCACATGGCTCATTTCTAACAACTTGGTAAAAGCCTGGTAGGCAGTTTAAGAATGAAAAAAAAAAAACAACAGAGTTTAATCCATTACCACTTTTCCAAGTCAATTTATTATTTGTGCAGGAGAGAAATAAAAGAAAATAATTGCTACAGTATTTTCTGGAAAGATATTTATCTTGATGGAAGACATATGGCTAAACAACCACTCTGCTTGTTCCTTATCAGATGTTATCCTCACTGTCCTGATTTTTAATAGTCAATTAATAAACAGTAATCTCTAGAAAAATTGTTTGTTTTCTTTTGTTTTTTTTCTTGACATGTAAGGCAGACTTCCAGGAAAGAGTCACAGTACAGCTTTGTAAAAGCAAGCTTTTTAAGGATTGATAAGCAAATTAATAAAACAACCCCCTTCTCTCTCATTTTGCTTCCTCAGCAACTTCCAAAGACGCTCCTGACTCGTCAATATTTTTCACATTTGTGACGGTGTAGAATTCAAGTATTTAGTTACAAATTCTAATTACAATTGATAGAAGCAATGGCTGTTTAGAAACAACTGATAATTTGTTTTTATGCACATGCTAGAAAGTACTAGAGATTGCTAGCATTGTGTTAGCCAGGCAGCTTGCCCACCTGTGGTGCCTTACTAAGATGTTTCCAAGTGGAAATCCCTCCGGCACTACTGTCAGTCATAAGATTTGTCAGTGTGTAGTGGAAGCCCAGCTTGGAAAGCAGAGGATATTTCAAAGTCGCTAAGAGCTTTCTTTACACTTTCAGACAAGCACTTTGTAAAGCAGTTCATTCTATCCATCTGCTAGGTAGAACAAAGGAAGGGGGGGTTCTGTTTCAAACAACTGGGGTTTTGCTGTTGTTGCAGTTCTTTATTTAATACATTTTGCAGAAAGAGTGAAGTCTGTCAACTTAGACTGAAATATTGAGAATTCAGACCATTAACTCCACATTCTTGTATTATAGAAGTCAAATGTTGTTTTGTATATTCAGGATATGGTTATTTTTTAATAAAAAGGGCAAAGGTTTTACAGTTTGTAAAGAAGTTTTATATATATATATTTATGTGTATATATATATAGGTTGTCTCAAAGAAATATCAGAGAGGCTGTCAGACTTCTCCCAGCAAAACACATAAGCATAAGCAGACAGTCAGATGTTCTCTAGAACAGAGAGATTGTATGGAATAAGTGCACAGTCTTCTAAAGGAGGATCTTTCTCAGACATTAGATTGCAACAATCCTTGTTGTCACTGCTGGGATTGTTGCTTTTTGGTTTTTTTTAACAGGCTATCTAAGTAAGTGTTACATGAACAGATCCAAAGTCAGGATCAACTTTTATTACTTGTAATGCTGTCTGGTAGGAGAAGAGCCTCTTTAAAGTTTTCATTTTAGAGATGGCAGACACTAATGCCAGAAAGAGTCCCTGGTTTTCCTTCTGTCACCACAACAATCTATGTATTTCTACATACTCGTGTGTCATCATGGTATGTGACACCTATCAAAGTGAGCCAAAAAGGAAAGTCAGACTTTAATTTTAAAAAGCAAAATTTTAAAAGCTAAACGTTGAGCTCTGTCTTGTAACTCCACTAACTGCAGTGGAATTGCCCAAAGGATGAATCCTACCTTGTGTGACTTAATTGCAATATATTTTATGCTTATTATATGCACCCATATCTTTGTCAGCAAGCCTGCTAGCAACCTGATTTGCAGGTGTGCTTTTCAGACTTTTACTGTCCTACCCTCCTGGAATCACAGTCTAAAAGTGGGAGGGAATTTAATTATCCATAAATTAGAAAGACACATTTTTGCCATTCCTAATAAAAACTGCATCACCTAAGGTACATAAAAAGGTTCTTTACCATATCCAGCCAATTTGGATTTAATTATGCTTTGCAGAGTAAGAGAAAAGATTAATAAGGCCTACAAAAAGATGCATAAGCAGTGATTCCCATTTCCCCTACTCAGACCCTACTGGTCTTACACTGCCTCAGAATGGTATCGACATGAGCAGTGACAACATCTAGTTTTGTTTAGGCTAGAAAAATGTGAACAGGAGTTTGGTCAGTATCTACAATGCTTAGTGATTGCAAAGTTAGGGTCTTATAAAGAAAAAAAGAAAATAGAAAACTAAAACCAACACATGTTCAGGTTCAGCTATTTAAGTGTTGGGGCAAAAGGGAGGAGATTTATTAGGCCTGGACTTACACAAACAGCTTTAAGGTCTCAGGGTAAAGCTTCAGCATCCTCACCATACCTCAGATTTCAGCAATAGTGAGATCTCTGGATATCGCCCCTGCATAGCTGCAAATTAGTACAAGAGCAGCACTGCATATAGCAGAGGAGTGGGAGGAGGTGGATGCACTGGCAGTACAGGAAACAGCCCTTAAGCTCAAAACCCCTTCGTGTCTTCCCCATCCACTAACTGCCTGAAGCTGTTTGAATCTGTGGGGGGAAAAAATTGCCCAACTCACTGAAAGAAACCAGCTAGCTCAATGTTTTCTTCACATATTGAAGAGAAGCCTTGGGCAGAGGGAAATCTCCAAATGCAAATTTCTGATGGTTCAGTTTTCACTGAGAGTAGAATTAATTCTGGGAGGAAGTGATGAACTGGGAGAGTTGAAGAAGAAATATAGACTAGTTTCCTAGCTCTGCTGTCAACAGCTTCATCACTGGGGCCAGGTAGTGCCACAGAGGGGAATGGTCACCTTGCCTTACAGATGTTCAACAAGCCAAAAGGAAGGTCAGTGACCTCACGGAAAGGACACATCACAGAGGTACTTTTGTGTTTTTTTCCTTTTCACATTTGTCTTCTTTTTCTTCTTGGATTATCAGTCATTTTCATTTGGAAAGCTCCATTCCAACAGCTTCATCTGAACAGCTTGCTGTAGTCAGTTG